TAATGATTTTTTAAAAATGACAGAATGGTGGAAATATGGGTTATACGACATTTAACATGCAATTTTAAGGAAAATGAAGCATTTTTTACATTTTGAGGTCAAGTATAATAATTTTCGCCTGGTTATGAAGTTTCATTCTAGCGACACCAGATGCTGACATATGCAAGCGAACACGCGGACAGTCCCGAGGTAATATTGTTGACTTTTGGTGTCGGGGCGATCGACCGCGTGGAACGTCAGTGATTTTACCGAACTACTGTTGTAAACTCAGTTTCAGTGGTTTAAAATCATTCAGCTGTATTTTATCAGCCCTGAAAGACATATTTTATTTGGATGCTAGCTGTTTAGCGTTGTTTTATAAGCAGCGTCATGAGCGTGGTTTTTGTCTTCGGCGTTTCTAAGCATGATCGTTTGGGGGGAATTTATCTGATATAGGTCGCTCTGTGTGGCTTATTTATAATTTTTATGCTGATTTCGATCATACCTCGTGCCCATCCTACCAGGCCTTTTGCCACTTACACTCATTAAGAAAGGAAAAACTAGATTTTCATTGGGACTAGGTGTTTTGAGGGTGTAACATATTCAGCGTTCCCATTTTTGGATACTTCTTGTGCTCGTCAACTCTCGGTGATTAGCAGACAGGTGCTTGACATGTCTCCACCCTCGGCGCGGACGGTGGATATAGGTATGGAAGACCTTGTTGAACATCGCTGAGCGTTGTGGATTACGTAATCCTGCAGAGGGGGGCGTGCCCGCTGCGAGATCGACGGGAATAAAAGCGCAGAAGACCGGGCGAAACATGCAACGGTCTTGCCGGAAAGGTCATCTGATGATTGTTGCGTTAACAATAATTTGCGGCGTTGGACGTGATGCTTGTTAATGAAAAGAGCCCCTGAAAGGCGTCGGTGAAATCGTTCCCAATTTTGGGTACGCCGTTCCCATAATAAGGAACGCTTGCAGCGCCAGTGTACGAGAGCGTTCCCAAATTTGGGCTCGCGGCCCGGGTGATGGACTGCACACACAGAAATATTGAGCGATGTCAAGTTCAATATACTCGTAAATAGTTCAAATAGCTTCAAAGTTCTGCTTCACGTAGTAAAATATCTTTAGTTTAAGTATTTACGTGATAAACAAGCAAGGTATCCGTCGCACAACGCCATAATAAGTAAAGGCATCAAGAATAAGTTTGTTTTTGTACGACGTTTATTGGTTAACTAACAAACATCGGCAGTTTTATTACACCACACAAGCATCTTTACGCAAAACAGGATAATGTAACAGCATAACAGATGTTCAAATACCTAACTGATATGTTTTCATGCAAAGCAAGTGTATCCATAAGCGAATGAGTGTTGTGTCACACTGGTAATTGCGGTACACATCCAGAGCAGGGATGCGGAGCCGGAGCCGGAGCCGGAGCCGGAGCCGCCGGAGCCGGCATATTTTGCCCGGAGCCGGAGCCGGAGCCGGAGCCGTGAAACAATATAGCCCGGAGCCGGAGCCGGAGCCGGAGCCGTCAAAAAAGGGGCGACTCCGGCTCCTTTTCTTAACCCTATTAGTGGCAGGCTCCTGGCTACCCCTATTAGTGGCAGGGGGGGCTGTTTACGACTCCCCCCCCCCCTGATATCTCGAGATCTAACGGGCCGATTTTCAAAATTCAAACGGCATTCGATTTCGCTCAACGTGATCTACATTTCTAAAAAAAATGTCAATAGGGGGGTAGAGGGGGGTAAAAACGGGCAAATTGCAGATACATTTTAGACTGTTTATCACGGCTAGGTTTTCGAACCAATCTTAACGCAACTTTTGCCGATCGATAGAGAATGAACCAGGAATTCACATGGGTCCTAAAAATATGCATTTTCAAAAATCATAGGCGGATACAGATGTAATTACTAATTATTTCCCAATATTCAGCACCTGGACGCGCCTATGATTTTAGGGGAAAACATCGCTTGTGGGTGTTCACAACTACATGGTATGGTGCATTTGATCGCTTTCTGGCAATGTAACTACTACGAAACCGCTCATCAAATGGTACTGTACACTTCAGTATGAACCCCCCCCCCTTTTTGGACGCCTGGATCCGCCTATTATAGCAAAAACGTGTCAAAAGAGGATGCACAATAACTTTGTATATGTTATCACATGATACCTTTCATTCACTGTTCGTAAAACTGGTGCATACAGTTATAATACATCAGCATCGTGATCTTCGCCCAAATGACTCGCTTCACGAATAGGACCCCCCAATTCCCAGTGCTCTGGAGCCGCCCCTGGTAAAGTTATGAACTTGAAATTTTCAGGGAATATGCCCAATTTAGTTTGAGGAAAAGTCAGAAAATTTCAGCATCGTAGCTTCAGCGGTTTCGGAGATATTCCCGAAAAACCTGAGGGGTGGATGAAAACAACCCCCCTGCCACTAATAGGGTTAAGAGGAAACAATTATTTACCTATAGTTCGGTTTGACAGTACAAGGCGTAAAACAATGTGGTATTCAAAATAGCCTTGTTATGCAAATACAGAAGCAACGTGTACCAATCCCATCGCCTTTTTTCTTCCACCCGTATTTAATTGATCGCATGGGGGATGTACTGAGTAGAAGCCGGAGCCGGAGCCGCCGGAGCCGGAGCCGCCGGAGCCGGATCATTTTACTCGGAGCCGGAGCCGGAGCCGGAGCCGCCAATACATTTCACCCGGAGCCGGAGCCGGAGCCGGAGCCGATTTCTTTCTCCGGAGCCGGAGCCGGAGCCGGAGCCGTCTGAAATGTCCACGGCTCCGCATCCCTGATCCAGAGCACCGTTCGCTTACGTCAACCCGTGTAAATTTAGCGAAATTTTGAGCTAAATGCTGACGGCGGCGGCGCCATTTTCGCAATCTGTCAGTTGTGCGCCGGGGACCGCGGGGGCCGTCGGGGGAGTGTTGTGGCTGCAGTGCGCAGAGTGAGTTTGCCCATTCTTGTGACATCAGTGAGATAAAACAGTGCTGTGGTGTTTATCTAGGTGGATAATAAGCTGAGTAATGAGTGAATAAGTGAATAATAAGTGAAATACTGCATTGTGGTCATCGTCTGATATCTGCAATCAAGACCGAGTCGGAAATCTGAAGCGGAGCGACATTGGAGGAGCTGCTGGAAATTATCCAGCTTTGTCGGAGTGCTGAGGTGGGCTTGTAATTTTTCAACTGAACTGCTGTCGTGTTATGAAAATAATGGATGCACTTTCATGCTTTTCTAGGGTTAATTAGGTATAGGTATGCTAATATTTTGCCAGATAGGCAACAGAGAGCCGATGGCTAATTAAATGAACGAGAATTTTGGCACAGTGAAGTAGTGCGTACAGATGACATATTTTTTATTTATCAATTACGGGCAGTTGACGGGAGACGGGCGGTGGCTGCGGCCTGTAGCGGCGCCCATATGCGTTGTGAAATATCAGCTTATATACATCATAAGGTATACATATACGCTAATCTAACTTTTATTTCCGTCAGATGTCATGTCGATTCTTAATAATAAACGACAAACAAACAAACGTGTTTGCAGCATGGGGTAGGCATTGAGCATCACAATGTTTCGTTGCATTTAGCTAAGGCTCGCGGCTGGCGACAACGTCCCGCCGTGTGTCGCTTGCGTTACAAATTTTGCGGGCCCAACATTAGCTTTACCAGAAAAAAATCGTTATAATAACCGTCATATTTGTGTAATTTTACCGCCATGAATTTGTGTACGATTACCACGCGAGTGTTCCTTTTGGTACTTTTTACCAAAAACACATATTTGTGCGTAAATGTAACGCGAGATCCTCGGTAAAGGTACACTGAAAGCGGTTCTCCTACACAATAGTGAAGCACCCCGAAGCTAGCAAAACACACATATAAGTGTTCTTTTACGCAGAAAACAGAGTAATTTTACACCAAAAAAATGTTCCTTTTGGTACTTTCAATTACACCGTTTTTCCGCTCAATATTTCTGTGTGTGTGCTTTAGAAATAGGGTAACGATTTGAAACTACGATGGGCCTTACAATATCAAACTCTTTCCCAACAATATTAAGACAACTATCAGGCGGTTCACGATCGTTTTATATTTTTTGGACGTCATTTAACAGTTCTTTTTCTTGTTTTAAATAATGCTTACATGGCGTTCCCATATTTGGGTTTATCGTTCCCAAACATGGGAACGAAAATGCGTTCCCGAAAATGGGTACGCTTGACCATAGTTCCGCCTACTGCCCTGGGTGGGGTCGGGACAGGAAGACGCCTCAGGCCGTTGCCACCGGTGATGAACCGTGAAGCAGAGGGCATTATTTGTCCGGACATTGACCCGGAGTTTATCAGACGGAGAATGGTCCAGAACGGCTTACATCTTCTCCAGTTATAGATGATCCCCTTTGGGCACCATACAGTTGCCGCCTGGCATCGACTATATCGGAACGTTGCGAGAGACACGGCCCCGAAATAGTCCTGTCATTCACCGCGCTGTTCGCAGCAGACCGGTTATTACCCCTGCTATAAGCGGCTCTCATCTGCATGGTAATTCATTTGCCTAACCTTCGGTTTGTGGCGCATCTACTTCTGTTATGAAGCTGCCATCTGTGATGGATCAGTCGGTGCGGAGATTTTGAGAGAGAGGGAGAGACAGAGACAGAGACAGAGACAGAGACAGAGAGAGAGAGAGAGAGAGAGAGAGAGAGAGAGAGAGAGAGAGAGAGAGAGAGAGAGAGAGAGAGAGAGAGAGAGAGAGAGAGAGAGAGAGAGAGAGAGAGAGAGAGAGAGAGAGAGAGAGAGAGAGGCTTGCGATATCTGCCTGACGCTCTCGTCATTTCGTCTAATTGAAATCGTTCATAAACAGCTATAAACGTAAATAATAACAAAGCATAAATAAACTTCAGATTTAATCCAAGAGCAATAGTTTTTGTAAAAAGGTGCACAATAAACTGGTGATGAAGCTAACAAACAGTAGTGTTTTTATTTATAAAAAACACAATTTTCTCTTCTCACCTTCTGACACGTAGACGTGCACGGAGACGGGCTCAGCGTTGGATGGCTTGCAGCTGTAGTTGCCCGAGTCCTGCCGCTTGGCGTTCGTGATAGTCAGCCTGCTGTAAGTCTTCTCTCGCGACTCGGTTTCCACCGTGATGCCTCCTCGTAGCTTGTCGTAGTTAATCATGTCCTCTCCATGATACCAGAATACGAAACTCGGCGGCGACGGACTCTGCAACGTGAGTGCTGTCAGAGCTTAGAACGAGAGACTATCTACACCAATATCGCATAAAAAATAAAATTGAGAAAAGTGCATAGTTTTCTGGAGCTTTGTCAAAAGTTTTGCAAAACTACGAAACATTGCATGCTTTTACTTATGTCTCCTTCCACTATTCAGCGTCTAACAGCGTAAGCAGGTCACACACTGGCAAAAAGGACTCTTAAAAAGTTTAAGCAATACAGAGAAAGTTTAAATGTTTCCCATTTCACACACCATTCAGATGGATTGTAAATTGCAATCATTGCAAACAGCACACGATGAGCTAGCAGACAAATGGCCGATCGTTACGACAACTGTTCCTAAGTAGTACCCATGAAGTTTCCAGGGAGTGTAAACGGGCACATAATACGGCTACAAATCATTGGGTGCGTATAGCGGACCGACTATCACATTGTTTACTTTTCCAGACACTAGCGCCGTTGTCAAACAATTAAGTCGCCTCCGATGACAGTTTTAACGACCGAGTCGAGTCCACGAATGGTCGGGGTCGACTCGGGAGCGAGGGGAGAGGGAGGGATGGAAGGGCAGAGGCCCGGAGGGCGATCGCCCTGACCGGCGCTTCTGTGTACACTTATGTCCGGAAAACCGACAAACGTAAATTTATTCGTCTGACAGTGTACTTCGTTTGGAAGCACTTCCAATATTACGTATTGATCATAGCCGGCATAAATAGAGAATTGCCACGACTATGTTCCTGAAAACGAACGCCAAATGGGCTTGCAAGTCAGTAGGGGAACATCCAAGCATCCTTGTATTAAAACATTGATGACATTGAAGGCCAATTTACAACCGCCCTGCCCATGTTCATTTAAACCGGCCATCCATGAAGGAGGGCTCCATTCCTACTTATCTTTAGAGCTGTAAAGAGCGCTACACCTGACAGCATAACATATAACCTGTTTATAGCATAAGCAAAGCTTTCCGTGTTTAGATACTGCGAAGATATATATATAAAAGAATGGCGCTAGTATTCAATTATGAATTATGTGCAAAGTGTTTCCATAAGGGCAAAGGATATGATGACATTATGTCTTTCCGTCATTGTGATAAAATTACAAAGCCTTGAGAAAAAGGAAAATGAACGAGACTTTTGCTGGGGTGGAAAACGTAGCATCGCATTTGAGACGCATGGACCTCTCGCGAGGTGTGCTTCCCTAGAGTTTAATTTACTCTGAGGTCGTCAATTTGGTTATTTCACATTACATTCCTCGGAACTAAGCAACCACATATCAAATGGCACATAAACTGTGCAATGTTCATTGACTACCGGTCTACAATTTCACTCAGGTTGGAGGCAGGGCAGATTGCAGCTAAAACACACAACCTCAGAAAGATATGGAAGACAGATCGGCAAATTTCGGTCGCTTGGTTCAATTCCATTATCCTTTCAGACACGCCATATGAGCCGACCCATCATAAAGATTCATAAAGTGTCGTTACAGTCGGACACGGAATCATTTCGGCGAGTGGTACCGTCATCTGAGACCGAAGGAATTCGAGCGCACGGTCCATCAGCACCGAATGAGCCCACCTCCGGCACGGGGACACGGGGGACACGGGTAGCTAGCCCGCTGACCTGGGGACACAGTACCTATCTGACCCACTGAGCTGGCGACACGGTACATAAATCTCAGGGTTGGGGACACGGTACCTGACCGGCTGACCTGGGGACACAGGTATGTATGTACAGCCCTCTGCAAACTGCGTGGTAGGTATTCTTTTTTCGACAAAGCCGAGAATAGCGCGAATACTATGCTATCGATCACTCGGAAATTCTAACAGCAAGGCAAGATGCGCGAGACTCCGCACCTTAGGCTGGCATTATCATAGTACATTTTCCATCCAGTTTGGCAACAAAACCCAAAAGTTTATATTTGCCCCCAAAACAAACTTTTGCATTTTGTTGCAACACAAGGCGTATAATTCGTTTAATGATAGACCCAGTCGAAGTAGTGGAGCAAGGCGCATCTATTTGTAGTGAGCTCCGACCGACTGAGCATAGCCTTTGAGTTATTGTCGGTTTTGTCGAAAAAAAAGAATACCTACCACGCAGTCTGCTGAGGGCTGTACCTGACTCACTGGGATGGCTCACTACCTAAAAAATAGGTCTATAAAGGTAAGAGAGCACCTGACCAAGTGCAGATCGAGGCAAAGGCGAATAGTAATTCTTCTGTCTGGAGACATTGCGACGTGGGTGAGCCTGACTCGTTCACCTAAGTACGGACCTTACCCCTCACCTCTCCCCATTTCTCGCAGAATGCCGCTGCAAGCATGAGCCACCTGCCCGTTCCTTACCCCTTCCACGACGCAGACCAGCTGAATGGCGGTGCCCTGTTGGACGTGGTACTCTGTGCCGCTGGTAATGGTCGCCACCGGCTGGTACACGTGCAGGTGTACAAAGCGCGACACGTACCCGGAGCCGGACGATACCTGCGGAACACAGCTCGGGGTGATGTCGTTTCATGTGGATCATTTTTACACTAAAGCCTTTGAATGTATTCGCATCAAAGCTTGGTGGCTTCTGGCTCGTTTTGTTTGAAAATGTGAAACCAGTGTTGCTAATTTGATGCAGTAGGGTTTCACGCTTAACATTTCAGCTTAACATTCAGCTTTCAGCTTAACATTTTACGTAAAATACGTTTACGTTTACACAGGTTCAGGCATTGCATCACACCGCTGTGCTGCAAATAGATGTACAAAGTTTAGCGCATTTAAGAGGACCCTAGCAGTATGCTTGTGATTGCATCCTTTGCATTTTAACCGTAAAGTGGTCAACTTTCTGCGAAATTTAACCGTAACACAATATAGCAAATGCGTCAAATCTTTTCGCACGTCGTTTGGGGAATTTCACGTAGATACAGCTCCTGTTTTGTAACGAAATGACCACGCAGCTATCACGCTCCCGACCACTCCTCTTCACGCCACCGTTCGCTATAAGCGAGCAGAAGTGTTTCACGTGTATACCGTCACCACTACGAATACCTCTGTTCCGTCACTATTGTCCGGCTGGACAGATTGAATGGTCAGAGAGTGGTCAGTTTGACTGGACCTGAGCCGAGCCGCCTCCCATATCTGCAGCCTCAACCAGCCGCGCTATGCGAGCTGGCCGGACTCGCGGCGGCGGCACGGAGTCGACACGTGCTGACCTCGCGACCAGCACGGGTCACAGAGGTCACTGGGATTACTGGGAGCGCATGGGTGTCGCTGATAGCCTCTCTTCGTTTCCAGACTCTGATACATGCACCACTATATGACAATTACAGCACTGCCAACGACACTGAAATTGGTGCTTTCGTCTTCACAGCTGCACTTATTGTCTCAAGTAGAGGTCTGCACCGGCCGGCTGCAGCCGCGGCTGGCTGCAGCCCCACGGCTGTGGGCCGGGGCGGCTGCAAATATCTACAAGAACACGGCTACGGCTGTGGCCACGGCTGTGAGATTTCAAGCTCAATCTTAAGTACTCAAATATACAATTTTAAATCCTTAATCTTACATTCTGATAAGCAGTCTTATAGCCTGTAAAAATCATGCAAAGGATGCCCAGCAACATTGAAAGTGGTGAAGCCTTTGAAAACCTGTAATGGTTTTACCATTTGCTGTAGGGGAGTTTGCACTCTGGTACAGAATACTAATTATAGGTACCAATTGTTCCTTCATCATCAGACATCAAGAGCTTGACAGTTTCAGAAAATGCAACATGTTGCATTGTCACATCCCTCTCAAATCAATCTCACCTCCTGGTCATTATGAGAGCACCTTACAGCTATTGAAGACGAGCGTTCAATAATTCTTTCAGGTAATAGAAAAAGAAATCACGCCCAGGTAAAGGCAGGTAAGGGCTTCATAAAATATTATCTAAAATAACTCATAGATGTATTTCTTTTTCGGCAAGTCCAATTACATAATATAAAACTGGCGCTTTATGTTCTAACTGGTGCGTGAGTGACCGCTAACAGAAAATGCTGATCAACGAAGCCAATGGAATTAGATTATAAGTGAGCATGAACCTTACTCACGGTTAATTCACATGATGGTGAAAACCCTGAACACGTAATTCACATGACGGTGAAAACCCTGAACACAATATTTCTTAGCGAGCTGTTGACTTTACTAATAAAATGACGTCTTCTTCTAAAAATGTAAAAATTTGATGATTAACCCGCGCCCTGGTGGGGTCTGTTTATAACGCGACCTGGTGGGGGGGGGGGGGGGGCTATTTTTTGCCCCCCTCGTATCTCCGAAACTACTGGGCGGATCCGCAAAATTCAAACGGCGTTCGAAAGGCCTGTCAAATTTGTCGAAGGAAACCAAATTTCATTGACCTCGGGGTCACCGATGACGTCACAGGTCAGGTCAAAGGTGAAATGTTTCACCGTTCACGGGTCTGCTAGGGAATGCGCTATAACACCGAGGAAAACGCATTTTGTCGATAATCAGCGATAGGGCGTCAGTTGCCTAGTAGATAAGTTGCTATTAGAGGTCACTGACAATGCCAGGTCAGGTCACAGGTCAGGTCACCAAGGGTCACAGGGGGCGTTCCACGACAAATCGACAAATAAAAAATTAAATTTGCACCCTCATATTTTATTCTTCGTTGAAAACTGGTGTAAGGGGTTGTGATGGGCGGGGAAGCCAGCTGTGGCAAGGATTGTTTTCTTCGAACAACGGTTTCCGAGATATAGCCTCGAGCAATTCCTGGAGTTCGCGCTGCAGCCCTATGTTTGGCGGCCTATAACTCAGAAACTATTGTTTTTTACGATAAAAACTTTATATGGTTCAACTCACAATCAACCAACAAACATTTTGGCTATCTCGGATTTTCAATTTTTGAAAATTTTGATCACGTGACCTTTTGTCCTATTTTTCGAAGAGTGACCTTGATATTTTCCCCACTGAAAGTTGCAATTTTGTCTGATGACGATTAAAGCCTTATCGATTGTCATTCATATGCGATAATAAAAAAGTGGTCATCGCCCTGCGTTGACCTCAGGTCAGGTCATTTTTATGACCTGTCCATTATTACGAGCGGGAGCGACAGCGAGATCTCGAGAATAAAGCAAGACAGCGACAAGCGGTAAACGGTAAAGGGTACACACGGATAAGGTCTATAATTTTTATTGAGGTCATTTTCAGGTCAGGTCAAAGATGACGTCACAGGAGCTAAAAGGAAGTCAAAATAGCGGCACTATGCATATATATGAAGTTTTTCTCGAATAACTTTCAAGGTATCCCAGCTAGGAACAAACTAATAGCACCATCGTGATCCTCTCGTCGATCCGCATCGAAACATATGTATGTTCACCTCGAAAGGTCGAAAGGTCAAAAGTTGACCTTAGGTCACGTGATCTAAGGTCAACTTTTGACCTTTCGACCTTTCGAGGTCAACATACGTATGTTTCGATGCGGATTGACGAGAGGATCACGATGGTGCTATTAGTTTGTTCCTAGCTGGGATACCTTGAAAGTTATTCGAGAAAAACTTCATATATATGTATAGTGCCGCTATTTTGACTTCCTTTTAGCTCCTGTGACGTCATCTTTGACCTGACCTGAAAATGACCTCAGTAAAAATTATAGACCTTATCCGTGTGTACCCTTTACCGTTTACCGCTTGTCGCTATCTTGCTTTATTCTCGAGATCTCGCTGTCACTCCCGCTCGTAATAATGGACAGGTCATAAAAATGACCTGACCTGAGGTCAACGCAGGGCGATAACCACTGTTTTTATTATCGTATATGAATGACAATTGATAAGGCTTTAATCGTCATCAGACAAAATTGCAACTTTCAGTGGGCGGAAAATATCAAGGTCACTCTTCGAAAAATAGGACAAAAGGTCACGTGATCAAAATTTTCAAAAATTGAAAATCCGAGATAGCCAAAATGTTTGTTGGTTGATTGTGAGTTGAACCATATGAAGTTTTTTCGTAAAAAACTAATAGTTTCTGAGTTATAGGCCGCCAAACATAGGGCTGCAGCGCGAACTCCAAGAATTGCCCGAGGCTATATCTCGGAAACCGTTGTTCGAAGAAAAAAAATCCTTGCCACAGCTGGCTTCCCCGCCCATCACAACCCATTAGGCCAATTTTAAGCAAAAAATAAAATATGAGGGTGCAGGGCACTTGTCGATTTGTCGTGGAACGCCCCACAGGTCAGGTCACATGAGCCCAACTTTACTAAGGTTGTGTGATGCATGTTTTATGGCCAATTTTTCATTTCCAACTCAATGGTGTTGGTTATAAGACTATCAGGTACTGCTTAGGTCACTTTCTGGTGAAGTTCAGGTCAAGGTCAGGTCAAGGTCAGGCCAAAAAAGGTCAAATTTTAAAGTTGATAGTTTTGCATAAAATGGGTATTGATTCGATGCAGCTCGTCACGGGGAGTCTAATGGTGGTCCTTGTTTTGCGCTACGGGGTCTAGAATTGCTAAAAACTGAGTTTGAAAATTTGACGTCATCAATTTTGAACAGTTTTTTCGCTATAACTTCGCCAAAAAAAGAGGTATCAATCTCAAATTTGGTATGTGGATGGAAGGCGGTAAGGACTACCACATATATTCCGGTTTTGCGAAATTCAAAAAATTTTTTGGATTTTTCGATTATATCCAATTTTTTTTTTGGGGGGGGGGGGTCCAAATTCAAAAATTTCAAAAATCCGAGATAGCAGTTTTGTAGCCCTGTTGATCCTACAGCTTTTATGTTTTTATCATTTTTCTGTATTTGCAAAGCTATAGGCCTGACAGCTCTTCCCGCGAAACCCTTTTTTGGGTCGAAAACGGCAGAACATGACGTCACTCTGACGTCATTTCCGGCCAACCTATCATAGCCTCTGGAAAGTTTTGGTCACAATGTGTAAAATTGATGTCCGGGAGGGTACTGAAAGTTTGGTGACGATCGGCGCAGCGGTTCTGGAGATATATCGAAAAGTCTGGAGGGGGGCAAAAAATAGCCCCCCCCACCAGGTCGCGGGTTAATCTTCGTTTGAGAGCAAGTTTTTAACTGTTTAGCAGTATTATTTATTAATTATGATTTTATGGCTGTTTACAGTGACACAAAACAATTTATTGCCACTTCTTTGCTATTGACGTCATTAAAAACTCAAGTAAAATATTTGATTGAAAGAGGCAATTGTGGTTCGCACGTCCTTGGGGATTTGAGCGAAGATCATTATTTGGAAAAATCAAAATAGATGAATGTTTTTCTTTCTTGGATGCTCACTAGTGTTTTAATGCCTTGCATATCAAATTAGTTTGAGACTTACTCAGAAGGCTGCTTCAAGCCTGGCATATCACACCCCAGAAAATATGCAAGGTAAGAAAGAAGCAAGAGTTTTGGCTAGACAATCACTGTTTGACAGTCCATCAACTTCAGTTTCATTTTCCATACCTAACATTGATAATGAAAAGCATCAGGGTCTGTTGTTCTGTCCCAC